GAGTGGTTAAGGCGATGGACTAGAAATCCATTGGGGTTTCCCCGCGCAGGTTTGAATCCTGCCGATTACGTGAACAATTCCTTTGTAGTAAAGGACTATATCAATAAACAGCCTTCTGCTGCCTTGGCTTCTGGATTATGGCATTCTAATTTAGCCACAGACAGTTGAAATTGAACATGGTTGAGGAGGCAGCAGCTGAAAGGGATGGTGCAGGAAGGAAAATTTCCTTGAAGACTGATAGGACTTCCACTCTATTGTGAAGCATGACCTGACAACGTTCTTATTGTGGTCAACACAAAAGGATCACAGGACAGAAATTTCAGGATTCATTAGGGCAAAATGAACCGAAAAAAAGAAGCTTTAATTCTGACAAGGACTTATTCGCTTTTGCACTTTTGAAGAACTGCAAAACTATAAGTCTTTGTCCAATATCTGGCGATGGCACTCATCAGCTCTTTGTCAGAATGGCGAGCGGTCTAAGGCGCTGCGTTCAGGTCGCAGTCTCTCCTGGAGGCGTGGGTTGAATCCCACTTCTGACAAAATTGCAATCATTGTTCTCCCCAAATCTGAAAATGATTGTTTTTTTGAATGAGGTCGCATGACTTTCCTTTTTCGATTACAGCGGAATCGACAGGTTCTGGCCGAGCGGTTAAAGTGCCTGACTACAAATCCATTAGGCTTCCCCGCGCTGGTTCGAGTCCCTCAGGTGACCTGTTATGTCGTCATCTATTGCCACAAGGGTTCTTCTTTGTCACATTTTACATTTCAAAAGGCCCAAAAAGTTCTCTATTTGGCACATCGGGACTACTAGCAGGCCTGTCCAGCACCCGCACCTTCTACTTATGCAGCCATGCCTTCGTAATGCATGCGACCTGTGCTTTTGCATCATCTCGTTGAAAACTGTATAGGCATCCTTAGAAAAGGCACTGTCTTGATAGCAGCAGTTATCGCTCCAAAATCTCTGCGTACCTCTCAGCATTGATGGTACCTTCACGCAATTGCAAGTTGCACATGCTAAGGGCAATGACACAACCCGATATCAACGGATATCATTTTGTTGCAATTGAAATTACAAATTTACTCGGCTCCACTCTTTGCCTCCAGCTTGTTGCAATCACCCTTTGCCACCGCCAGTGGAAATTCAAAGTGGTTAAAAAATCAGCAGCAAAAAAAACCCACAAAGGCACTGTGGAGGAAGGGAATTCTCTTGAAGCTACGTGGACTTCCATTCACGTGTGAAGCATTGCTTGACTGAATTTTTCATGTGACAGCTCAAATTCACCACTGAACAGAAATTTCAGGACTGATAAGAGGAAAATTAGTCAGAAAAGAGGCTTCGTACTGACAAACACTTCTTTGCTAACTCATTATTATCCAGCTGAAAGAATGTCAGTGTTTGATGAACATCTCAATAAGATACGCTCAATGCTTCATCAGAATGCCCGAGTGGCCAAAAGGGCCGCATGAAAGCAGTAGTCTCGTCTGGAGGCCTGGGTTCCAATCTCACTTCTGACGGGAATGCTATGATTTCTTCCTCCCGAATGTAAACGATTCATAACTCGATGCATCTGGAATGATATCGGTTTCCGGATCGAGCAAAGCTGGAGCAGGCTAAGGTAATCGTGGCCGAGTGGTTAAGGCGATGGACTAGAAATCCATTGGGGTTTCCCCGCGCAGTTTTGAATCCTGCCGATTACGTAAACAATTCCTTTGTAGTAAAGGACTATATCAATAAACAGCCTTCTGCTGCCTTGGCTTCTGGATTATGGCATTCTAATTTAGCCACAGACAGTTGAAATTGAACATGGTTGAGGAGGCAGCAGCTGAAAGGGATGGTGCAGGAAGGAAAATTTCCTTGAAGACTGATAGGACTTCCACTCTATTGTGAAGCATGACCTGACAACGTTCTTATTGTGGTCAACACAAAAGGATCACAGGACAGAAATTTCAGGATTCATTAGGGCAAAATGAACCGAAAAAGAAGCTTTAATTCTGACAAGGACTTATTCGCTTTTGCACTTTTGAAGAACTGCAAAACTATAAGTCTTTGTCCAATATCTGGCGATAGCACTCATCAGCTCTTTGTCAGAATGGCCGAGCGGTCTAAGGCGCTGCGTTCAGGTCGCAGTCTCTCCTGGAGGCGTGGGTTCGAATCCCACTTCTGACAAAATTGCAATCATTGTTCTCCCCAAATCTGAAAATGATTGTTTTTTTTTTGAATGAGGTCGCATGACTTTTCCTTTTCGATTACAGCGGAATGCGACAGGTTCTGGCCGAGCCGGTTAAAGTGCCTGACTACAAATCCATTAGGCTTCCCCGCTGGTTCGAGTCCTTCAGGTGACCTGTTATGTCGTCATCTATTGCCACAAGGGTTCTTCTTTGTCACATTTTACATTTCAAAAGGCCCAAAAAGTTCTCTATTTGGCACATCGGGACTACTAGCAGGCCTGTCCAGCACCCGCACCTTCTACTTATGCAGCCATGCCTTCGTAATGCATGCGACCTGTGCTTTTGCATCATCTCGTTGAAAACTGTATAGGCATCCTTAGAAAAGGCACTGTCTTGATAGCAGCAGTTATCGCTCCAAAATCTCTGCGTACCTCTCAGCATTGATGGTACCTTCACGCAATTGCAAGTTGCACATGCTAAGGGCAATGACACAACCCGATATCACAACGGATATCATTTTGTTGCAATTGAAATTACAAATTTACTCGGCTCCACTCTTTGCCTCCAGCTTGTTGCAATCACCCTTTGCCACCGCCAGTGGAAATTCAAAGTGGTTAAAAAATCAGCAGCAAAAAAACCCACAAAGGCACTGTGGAGGAAGGGAATTCTCTTGAAGCTACGTGGACTTCCATTCACGTGTGAAGCATTGCTTGACTGAATTTTTCATGTGACAGCTCAAATTCACCACTGAACAGAAATTTCAGGACTGATAAGAGGAAAATTAGTCAGAAAAGAGGCTTCGTACTGACAAACACTTCTTTGCTAACTCATTATTATCCAGCTGAAAGAATGTCAGTGTTTGATGAACATCTCAATAAGATACGCTCAATGCTTCATCAGAATGCCCGAGTGGCCAAAAGGGCCGCATGAAAGCAGTAGTCTCGTCTGGAGGCCTGGGTTCCAATCTCACTTCTGACGGGAATGCTATGATTTCTTCCTCCCGAATGTAAACGATTCATAACTCGATGCATCTGGAATGATATCGGTTTCCGGATCGAGCAAAGCTGGAGCAGGCTAAGGTAATCGTGGCCGAGTGGTTAAGGCGATGGACTAGAAATCCATTGGGGTTTCCCCGCGCAGTTTTGAATCCTGCCGATTACGTAAACAATTCCTTTGTAGTAAAGGACTATATCAATAAACAGCCTTCTGCTGCCTTGGCTTCTGGATTATGGCATTCTAATTTAGCCACAGACAGTTGAAATTGAACATGGTTGAGGAGGCAGCAGCTGAAAGGGATGGTGCAGGAAGGAAAATTTCCTTGAAGACTGATAGGACTTCCACTCTATTGTGAAGCATGACCTGACAACGTTCTTATTGTGGTCAACACAAAAGGATCACAGGACAGAAATTTCAGGATTCATTAGGGCAAAATGAACCGAAAAAGAAGCTTTAATTCTGACAAGGACTTATTCGCTTTTGCACTTTTGAAGAACTGCAAAACTATAAGTCTTTGTCCAATATCTGGCGATGGATAAGAAATAATTTGAAAATTCAAAGATAGTCATATAATAACTTGCAAACACTCATGATTTAATTCTGCTGTTCTGCGGGCGACCGAGAAGCCATATTTGTAATTGGTGTCACATGACTTGGCTATTGGAAGGATTGAAAAGACAAATCGTACGGAAAGATTAGGAAGTGGTTTGAACTTGCGGTCAATTGGTGGGATTTATTAGCAATGAGTTTGGACGAATTACGAATAATTAGGACTTGAGTCAGCTGTCCAATCATGAGAAGGTATGGCCACGATTACCTTAGTCTGATTGAACGCCATAATCAAGAGGCGAAGGCAGGAGAAAGTAGTGTATTGATATAGGCCTTAGCGAGGGCAACTTGCAATTGTGTGAAGGCACCATCAATCCTGAGAGGTACGCAGAGATTTTGGAGGAATAACTGCTGTTTTCAAGACAATGCCTTCTCAAAAAATATCCATGCATTTTTCAACAAGATGATGCTACACCACAGCTCGCATGCATTATGAAGGCATGGCTGCACAAGTAGAAGGTGTGGGTGCTGGACTGGCCTGATAGTAGTCCCGACGTGCCAAATTGAGAACATGTTGGGCCTTTTGAAATGTAAAATGTGACAAAGAAGAACCCTTGTGGCAATAGATGACGACATAACACATCACTTGAAGGACTCAAACCAGCGCAGGGAAGCCAAATGGATTTGTAGTCAGGCACTTTAACCGCTCGGCCAGAAATGGACAGTACCTGCTGCATTCCGCTGTAATTGAAAAGTTTAGTTTAGTTTAGTTATTTGGCTTATTTGACAGGGGCTATGTACAGAACAAATCATGTACCAGGGTTAGCTCTATTGCTAATTTTCACCTGTGTTCCCTGGGCAGGGTGCTAAACTTAAAAACATTAAACAACAACAAATAGACATTCCAGACACTTCCACTTCCAGTAGGGCAACATTAGTAATACATTCGACAATGACAACACCATATTAATCACATAAAACAAAACACGATCAATGATCGCATGACTGATTCTCCTTCAACCAGACCTTTAGAGATAATTAAAAACTGTTAAGGATTACAGAGTCTCTAATGTGAAGTGGGATTGAGTTCCATTTTTGTACTGCTTTAAATGAAAATGCTGATTGACCAAAGGCAGTCCTTCTATATTGTGTTTGACTGTCACCTCTCACTGAGGCCCTTAAGGCCCTTACACTGTCCCTGCAGAATAACATGCATTGCTTGTCATGCAACCTCATTCAAAAAAACAATCATTTTCAGATTTGGGGGAGAACAATGATTGCAATTTTGTCAGAAGTGGGATTCGAACCCACGCCTCCAGGAGAGACTGCGACCTGAAGCATGGCGCCTTAGACCGCTTCGGCCATTCTGACAAAGAGCTGATGAGTGCCATCGCCAGATATTGGACAAAGACTTATAGTTTTGCAGTTCTTCAAAAAGTGCAAAAGCTTAATACGTCCTTGTCAGAATTAAAGCTTCTTTTTCGGTTCATTTTGCCCTAATGAATCCTGAAATTTCTGTCCTGTGATCCTTTTGTGTTGACCACAATAAGAACGTTGTCAGGTCATGCTTCACAATAGAGTGGAAGTCCTATCAGTCTTCAAGGAAATTTTCCTTCCTGCACCATCCCTTTCAGCTGCTGCCTCCTCAACCATGTTCAATTTCAACTGTCTGTGGCTAAATTAGAATGCCATAATCCAGAAGCCAAGGCAGCAGAAGGCTGTTTATTGATATAGTCCTTTCCTACAAAGGAATTGTTCACATAATCGGCAGGATTCAAACCTGCGCGGGGAAACCCCAATGGATTTCTAGTCCATCGCCTTAACCACTCGGCCACAATTACCTTGGCCTGCTCCAGCTTTGCTCGAACCAGAAACTGATATCATTCCAGATGCATCGAGTTATGAATCGTTTACATTTGGGAGGAAGAAATCATAGCATTCCCGTCAGAAGTGAGATTGGAACCCAGGCCTCCAGACGAGACCACTGCTTTCATGCGGCCCTTTTGGCCACTCGGGCATTCTGATGAAGCATTGAGCGTATCTTATTGAGATGTTCATCAAACAATGACATTCTTTCACCTGGATAATAATGAGTTAGCAAAGAGGTGTTTGTCAGTACGAAGCCTCTTTTCTGACTAATTTTCCTCTTATCAGTCCTGAAATTTCTGTTCAGTGGTGAATTTGAGCTGTCACATGAAAAATTCAGTCAAGCAATGCTTCACACGAGAATGGAAGTCCACGTAACTTCAAGAGAATTCCCTTCCTCCACAGTGCCTTTGTGGGTTTTTTGCTGCTGATTTTTTTAACCACTTTGAATTTCCACTGGCGGTGGCAAAGGGTGATTGCAACAAGCTGGAGGCAAAGAGTGGAGCCGAGTAAATTTGTAATTTCAATTGCAACAAAATGATATCCGTTGTGATATCGGGTTGTGTCATTGCCCTTAGCATGTGCAACTTGCAATTGCGTGAAGGTACCATCAATGCTGAGAGATACGCAGAGATTTTGGAGCGATAACTGCTGCTATCAAGACAGTGCCTTTTCTAAGGATGCCTATACACAGTTTTCAACGAGATGATGCAAAAGCACAGGTCGCATGCATTATGAAGGCATGGCTGCATAAGTAGAAGGTGCGGGTGCTGGACAAGCCTGCTAGTAGTCCCGATGTGCCAAATAGAGAACTTTTTGGGCCTCTTGAAATGTAAAATGTGACAAAGAAGAACCCTTGTGGCAATAGATGACGACATAACAGGTCACCTGAGGGACTCGAACCAGCGCGGGGAAGCCTAATGGATTTGCAGTCAGGCACTTTAACATGACTGACCCACCATAATATTTCACCGTGGGTATGAGGTGCTTCTTCTTGTATGCATCTGTTTCGACACCAAACATGCCGATACTGTATCTGACCAAAACATGGAATTTTGGTCTCCTGCGACCAAAGCACCTTGCTGATGGTGCTTTTTGGAACCTGGTGACCATAAGATGCCACCAAGGACTGCAATTTCTTCACAGTGTTTCTTGGGAATTTTGTTGCTTCTCTCCTCATCCTCCTCAGTATCCTGGGGAGCAAAATGCTGTTGGATCCACTACCCTTGAGGTTTTTAACAGTTCCATCTCTCAGATTTTTAAAAATAATTGCTCTGACAGCGCTTACTGTCATTCAGTCGTTTTTGAATCTTCTTGTAGCTATTACCAGATTTTTGAAGGTCAATGACCATCAGCCACTTTTTTTGCTTCATGGTGTTGGATGACAAAGGTAACACATATGCAATATCCCTAATTTTTATATTCTAGTGAAACAATAATGGCTCAATTGTAGGTCCTCAACACTGACATTAGTGGAATTTAATACCTGGTTTAATTTTGGTGGATGTTATTTACAGTAATCTTTCAGGGTGCCATTAATTGTGAAACCTTGATTTGGAAGCAATAGATTTTTCTTTAAATCAATTAATGATTTTGGTGTAACATTCAGGATTTTTTACATGTTGGTATTTAGGGTTTCTCTATAAATATACTTTTCAGAATTTCTTAAGTTTGTGCATTGCCAGGTAGGGGTGCCAGTAATTTTTGAGCCCTCTGTATTTAGTCCTTTTTTGTTCATTTGTGGCGCTTTTCCACTACGTGGCACCGGCTCACGTCTACTCTACTCCACCCGCCTTAGTACCGGGTACTTTTCTGGGGGGGTCGTTTTCCATTAGAGGATAGTACTGCCTCAGTGTCGCTGGTCGTCAAAGCGGCGAAGCACGAAACTTCCGCAACGTCGTCCTCAACATGACACACAATGTCACACAAAGCTGCAGTTATATCAAGTTTACATTTATCCCGTCAATTTTGTTAAAGATTTATGTGTTCAAATCAGGGGACACGCACAACCGTCACCACGTTATGGCACTTAAGTCCGGCGAGTCTTGAATTGTATTTTGTTTGACATTGTCGTGTTCAGTTGCATATTAAATTGCATACCACCTAACAAGGCAAAGCAATGATATCCATAAAAGGCATGGATAGCGAATGTACATTTCATCCTGAATTTGACGGCAAAGAAACGGACTGTTCAAGCATGGGATAATTAAGTGATCATTGCAGAGCAGAGTTCCACGTTGCAAATGTGCAAATCGCAGGAGATGGCAAAGAATCAGCATTCATTGCTTTATGATGCGTCATCTCATCTGTGATAACTTTAAGAGAAAAATGATTTGTCAACACCGGTTGATGAACAACAAGTTATTTTTCTGTGCGATTTTCTTAAAACAGGGCTAGCGTCACATAACTTTCTCAAGGGGAATTAGTTAGGGGAACAGAACTGGACACAACACCGTCACTTGATTTCGCCACGCACGGAGTCACAGATAAAGGGAAACGCATTTCATGGATGTAGCAGCTTTGGTGAACAAGCAAAACTGTGTTTTAAAGGTAAGGCAACGCACAGTTTTTTGTACAAGTTGCCTAAAACTATATAAGTTGATGATCATAATAACTACGCTAATCTTGAGACTTGTCAATCTAACTCGAATGAGATGTCCCACGGTCGACTACGGAATTGTCTTTCGCAGAGACGATTCTCTCTGACCAATCAGTGGGCTGCGGTGTTGTCACATCACATTTTAGTACCTAATAGTACCCAGTCGGCTTTTTTTGGAACCCCAGGAGAGCAGATAGCAGAAAAGGTGGTACCAGATACCAAGTACTAGGTACTTTTTCCTAATGGAAAAGCAAAAAAGGCGAGTAGAGTAGAGTAGAGCCGGTACGGCGTTTTTGTATAGAGAATTTGGTGGCGGCCGCCACCGCCAAATTTCTTACCGCCACCAGCTGACGGCATGATGCTCAGTGTTTTTATGGCAAACCCATAACCAGGATAAGGCGCATAACTGGGATACTTAAGTCCATGTAAACGCACTCACTGATCTGTCATTTCTGTCAATCATAACTGCAATTGAGGCACGTAACCACTGGTATTGGCTAAGTTAATCCGTAATTGAAATGATAATGTTACTACCAAAGTTCAATGTTAGTAAAATTAACTGTTTGCCTGCAGGAATGCGTATATGCAGCGAGTTTCCTTTGATATACTGCGGTTGGTACACAAACGGGAAAGAGTTCCATATCCAACCTCCACTTTTTTCAGCTTTTTATTTGCCAGAGTGATTTTTAAAGGAGGCACAAATATATTTTGTGGGGTTTCATTTGTGAGAAGGTGGGTTTGAATTTAATATTAAAATGTAATATTGCAAATGCATATGCTGTCCATGCCCTAGCAACCCCATGTGTCATCAGTTATATGCCTACCACTGTTATTTGCTATTACCACGTATAGCAGCACTATAAATTAAACTCAAAATTTTCTTGACCAGACGTACACTTGACGTTTTTACACACCTGAATGTTTCTCTGGGTACCCAAACATCAAGGTAGGCCGAAAAAGTACTGATTATATTCAATATTGGTAGAGGTTTGATTTAGTACTCTTTCCGAACACGGATGAATTAAATTTATAACCGACAGTTTGAGCACTTACGAAGTAGCCTTCAAATCCAACCCATCTCATTCGAGAAGACATGGTTTTCATGTTGTGACTGATCAGTGTATGTCAGGTACATTAACTGCACCACTATTACCCCCTCATTCTATTGGTTTTGAAGAATTATTATATCTCTGTTCTCACTTTTACTCTACTTCAGAATCTTTGGAGGAGGTGCTTCAGTGGCTTGTCTCTCCAGAGGCCTCTCAACTGTATCCCACCCTGACCTTTGTGGCACTTGGAAGTATGTTGCAAGGTGGCCATTGATGGACCGCTGAAGGAGGCCTTTGACTACAAAGAGTGTATGAAGAAGTTCTTCAAAATGAAACCTAAGAGGCTGAAATCAAGAGTTTGATCGCAATACGGGTCAACCACCAAATCCACATTTTACTTGTTTATTATCTCAAACAATAGAGAAAAGATAGTCTTACGTTGATGTGAAATCAGATTTTTGACAGGTGAAATATATTCAGAGCTTCTAATCGGCAAAATTTATGTTTTTTTGCAAAACGGCTAAGTGCCACCTCGGTTTGTTTGCAAAATGGGTTATATCCAGTTGACCAATCAGCGCTGCGTATTTTTTCCAAGATTGCTGTGCCAATGTAAGGCAATATTCCTATCGGAGCTCAGTCTTCCATCTTACATTTTATGTTGAAGAGCTGAGTAGACTGCCTTGTTTGAGTTACAAAATGAGAGAACAATGAATCCATTTGACGGTTTAGAGGAGGAGGAGATAGTACTCTCCCACAATCGAAGGAAAAGGGGAAGATGTGACAAGTTCCATCATCGAACTAAAGAGAAGAACAGACGACACAGTGGGGAGGGGAAACGATCAGCGGTATCTTGCCAA